CCCAATCAATACTGGGTAGTTGAAATCCTCAGTTATTACTGGGTTTTCTGTTTTTTGTAGTCTCTCTAATCTCCCTGAGCATTTCAGTCACCATCACAAACCTGACCACGTGGTTAGTAATTAGGGCCTTCAAGTGATTAAAAAAATTAATCGCACTGTTAAACAATAATAGAATACCATTTATTTAAATATTTTTGGATGTTTTCTACATTTTGAAATATATTGATTTCAATTACAACACAGAATACAAAGTGTACAGTGCTCACTTTATATTTATTTTTTATTACAAGTATTTGCACTGAACAAAAACAAGAGAAATAGTATTTTTCAATTCACCTAATACAAGTACTGTAGTGCAATCTCTTTATCATGAAGGTTGAACTTACAAATGTAGAATTACGTACAAAAATAACTGCATTCAAAAATAAAACAATGTAAAATTTTAGAGCCTGCAAGTCCACTCAGTCCTACTTCTTGTTCAGCCAATCGCTCAGACAAACAAGTTTGTTTACATTTGCAGGAGGTAATGTTGCCCGCTTCTTGTTTACAATGTCACCTGAAAGTGAGAACAGGCGTTCTCATGGCACTGTTGTAGCCGGTGTCGCAAGATATTGATATGCCAGATGTGCTAAAGATTCATGTGTCCCTTCATGCTTCAACCACCATTCCAGTGGATGTGCATCCATGCTGATGGCTGGTTCTGCTCGATAATAATCCAAAGCTGTGTGGACCGACGCATGTTCATTTTCATTATCTGGGTCAGATGCCACCAGCAGAAGCTTGATTTTCTTTTTTGGTGGTTTGGGTTCTGTAATTTCTGCATCGGAATGTTGCTCTTTTAAGCCTCTTGAAAGCATGTTCCACACCTCCTCCCTCTCAGATTTTGGAAGGTACTTCAGATTCTTAAACCTTGGCTTGAGTGCTGTAGCTATCTATAGAAATCTCACATTGATACTTTCTTTGTATTTTGTCAAATCTACAGTGAAAGTGTTCTTAAAATGAACAACATGTGCTGGGTCATCATCCAAGACTGCTATAACATGAAATATAGGGCAGAATGCAGGTAAAACAGAGCAGGGGACATACAATTCTCCCCCAAAGAGTTCAGTCACAAATTTAATTAACTCATTATTTTTTTAATGAACGTCATCAGCATGGAAGCATGTCCTCTGGAATGGGGGCCGAAGCATGAAGGGGCATATGAATGTTTAGCATATCAGCCATGTAAATACCTTGCAATGCCAGTTACAAAAGTGCCATGCAAATGCCTGTTCTCACTTTCTGGTGACATTGTAAATAAGAAGAGGGCAGTATTATCTCCTGTAAATGTAAACAAACTTGTTTGTCTTAGCGATTGGCTGAACAAGAAGTAGGACTGAGTGGACTTGTAGGCTCTAAAGCTTTACATTGTTTTGTTTTTGAGTGCAGTTATTTAACAAAAAAAATCTACACTTGTAAGTTGCACTTTCATGACAAAAAGATTGCACTACAATACTTGTATGAGGTGAATTGAAAATACAATTTCTTTTGTTTATCATTTTTACAGTGCAAATATTTGTAATAAAAAATAATATACACTTTGAGTTCAGTTACAACACAGAATACAAAATATATGAAAATGTAGAAAAACATCAAAAATATTTATTAAATTTCAATTAGTATTCTATTGTTTAACAGTGAGACTAAAACTGCGATTAATCGTGATTAATTTTTTTAATCACGATTAACTCAAAAAAATTAATCGTGTGAGTTAACTGTGATTAATTGACAGCCCTATTAGTAATATATTCTGACTCTTATTATTCAAGCACAGAATTTCTATCCATAGAGATTCCATGGTAAAGTTTTGATTTATTTAAGATTTATAGTAATGTTATTTTTCTCAAAGGTCCAGATTCTGAGCTCATTACAGTAATGCAAACCTATAGTAACTCTATTGATTTCAGTAGAGTTGTACTGATGTAAGCGAGAGGAGGACTTGGCCCCTAGATTTCACCATGGAAGCATTTGTGTAAAACAATGGGATTTAAAAACTCATGGAAGAAATTGGCCTGCTGAAATAGGGCTAATACTTTCATATGTAAGTACTCCAGGTGAATGAGTGGAAGAATCAGGTTGTAAATGGGGTAGTTTGAGCATCATCTCTGGGAGATTGCTATTACTCCTAATCATCACATCTTTAGTTAAGGACACCTATTTTACTTCTGCCATGAAGAAGCATGGCTTAACGGAGGGGGAGGATGACAACCAAAAGGCACAGAGAGTGAGATATATGCATCCTTGTGTCATTGGAAGTGATGAATCAAGGTGCTGTTGGATATTATCCTGGTCCCTCTCATCTTCCCTTTTTTCTACAGTCAATGCTGTAGGTTAAAATTGATCACCTGGCATCTGTTTGAAAGGGAATGGACTCCAACTGTAGATGTAATACTATGATGTGCAGAACAAGGCTGCCCAGCACATTGCTAAAGGAATTACTGAAGAAGAACTCTGGAAACCATTAGAAATGTAACACATTATCTCTTTCTGGATGCCTTTGGACCTGAAATACTGACCTTACCATTCACTGGATATCCAATACAAATACCAAATAATTCTGTATGTAAGAGATGTATATAATGAATGGAAATGCAATACAACATTTGTCCTAGGGCGGCAGGATTCTTTATTGCGATCCAACGATCTAACCATAGAGGTAACTACTGGGCCCTCTGAATAAAAACTTCTTCATTTGGGACCTATGCTGGAGCATGGGATCCCATCTGGTTCTTTCCCCACAAACATAGGAGAAGTGTGGATTTGGATTCAAATCCAGATTCTAACTCCATGGTTTGGGTATATCTGTATTTATTACATTTAGTGCTTGCTTGGTGATGCTCCTGGCCAGCTTTTGTTGTGGAGCAAACTTGCCACTAGTAGATGTTAGACAGCTATCAAAGAACTAGATACATGGACCAAGTGACTAATTAGTTCATGAATCGGGAAAGCTAGAAGTAATTCAGCAGAATTCATACAGTCAGCAAGGATGAGGGCAGTCCTTTCTATGACAGCTTTCCCTGCATTTTGATCATTAAGCAATTCACAGGTTAGCCTATCCGTCTTGTTTATGTACCCTCGGGGGAAAGTATTCCCTGCATCCCAGGCATCTCAACAAGTTTGAAATTCAAACATATTTTTGGGACTGTCAATAAAATATCAAATAGGCACATTTTGATGTGAGCATTGGCATACATAACACTACTGGCGACTTTTGTAATGGATGATATAAGGAAAACAAATCTTTATTCCCTCTGCCTGCTAGACCGATTGTAACATCTCAACATCAGCTTGATTGCCCTGCCCCCTCCTTGGAGGAAAGCTAAGGTGCTGCCATGAATATAGAGGTCATTTAAAAAAAAATGGTTAGAATAAAACATACTAATCATTCCCAGCAGCAGTCCCAAGGCAAGCCAAAGCCATCTCCAGTGCAACTCCACCTTTCTGGGTCTTGGCAGATTTATTTACATTCACTTGGGTAAGAGATACAGCTTAAAATAATCCAGTCACTATTTATTTTGGCTTTCCTTGGATCTCTTTCCCACATAAGAAATCAGTCCAGTCTTTATGCAGGAAAATATAGCTTTAACAGATGCCTGCTCTAGTGTCCGTATAAAGGATTAAGTAAATTGGTCACTCTAGAAAGAATATTCTACTAGTGTAATACCAGGACAGATGGGTTCAGAGCTTGGTGGTCAGCCTTTTTCAAAGTATTAATTACTACATGTTGATCTTAGCATCCCACTTCTCAACCTGCCAAGGCCCAAATGTGGGATACAATGTGCAACTTAGGACATATTTACACTGCAGTCAAAAGTGTGACTGCAGCATATATCCTGACTAGCTTTTGATCTAGGTAGCTTGAGTAACAATAGCCGTGAAGCTGCAGCAACATGGGCTGTGCAAACCTGCCCTTGAATGTACTCAAGAGGCTAGCCCATGCTGCTACCAGTGCTGCTGCAGTTTCATGGCTATTGTTACTCAAGCTACCAAGATTAATACTAGCTTGGTTGTGTCTACATGTGATACAGTCACACCTCTGACTGCAGCGTAGACCTACCCTAAGATCAAAACCTTATATATGCAGAAAAATTTAAAATACTGTTGGATTCCTTCCTTTAGTGTAAATGGCTCCCTGAATAACCGCAGTTTCAGAATTCTTTATTTCTGATGTCAATAACATTCAGCAACAAGAGGAAGGGTTCACCAAATGTGTGGAACCTAAGTAACTTTGGGACCAAAATGAATGATGTCCTTCAAAATCAGGTACCCATGAGAGGAATGGTTAGCATGTCAGCCCCTGACCCACCAGACACTGACATCAGTGGGAAGACTCCCACTGACTTCCATGGGATGTGTAACAGGCTTTTAGTTACGGTCAGTGTTTCTGGCTTAGCTTTCATCCTTACTACTTTATGCATTGCAGCTTGAAGGTGTTGGTACAAAGTTCTGTGTTGTCCTTCGTGGTGTTTATTATAAATATTTTTTAGCACATGTTTGCATATGCCCTTCTCAGTGTTTTTGTTTAATCTGTGTAAAGAAATTTTTCAAATAATTAGTTATAAATACTATTACTAATGAAAAAGGAATCCATACAATTGCCGTTGTAGCCCATTTGCTGCTACATTTGTGGGGTAGATGTCTTTCTCAGTGTCATGTTTGCTCATGTTGATGCTCTTCAGGTGGCCTGTTTTGTCTTGCCTGTCACAAGTCACTTATTCTTATTTTTGTGTTGGTGGTTTAGAAGATGGCTCTCTCCAGTCTGAGTCAGTGCTGAATTCTGGCCCTGCTGTAGTGCTAAGAGGGCATAGCGTTGCCAATGTGCCACCTGTTTGTAACAGATCAGGGGCCATCTAGGACTTGAGGGTTGTCATTATGCTTCCCCCTTGCCCTCATGGTACAGCTGGGATAGAACTCAGATTCTTCCAACCTCCCTTCCTAGGCTTCAGAGCCCCAGGTCAGTTGGCCTCATGGTGCAACGGTAGCGCATCTGACTCCAGATCAGACAGTTGTGTGTTCAAATCACATTGGGGTCTGGCAGGTGACTGTTGTGCCTTTATCCTGGTGCACCTTGCTTGGGGAGAGCATCCCTCCTGAAAGGGGCATGGCCCTTGCCTTTGTGGGGAGGGGTAGCTCAGTGGTTTGAGCGTTGGCCTGCTAAACCCAGCATTGTGAGTTCAATCCTTGAGGGGGCCATTTAGGGATCTGAGGCAAAAATCTGTCTGGGGATTGGCCCTGCTTTGAGCAGGGAGTTAGGCTAGGTGACCTCCTGAGGTCCAACCCTGGTATTTTATGATTCTATGAACCACAACATCAAAGCACTGTCTACACAGCTATTTTTAGCCCAAGTCTACCAACCCTGGTTAGGAGGCTCATTCCTGCTCACTCCAAAATTCTGTGTAGACATACTCTAATCATTCAAAGCAACATTCTGATTGACTGGTTGGGCCTTTTGAATGATGCCATAAGTATGGATCTGTTCCCAGTGGTGCACAGCTGGGCCCTCTCCACTGAAAGAGACACAAATCCCTAAACCTCTTACGTGAAATAAATGGGAGGAGGGAAAAGTGTGAGGTGGAGGACAAAACTAAGGCACCCTATGAAGATATGGATGAAGAATAACTGTCGGGACTGGGAGAGAGTGAGAAACTGAAGGAGAAACAGGGACATTTGTAAGCTGTCCTCTTCCTCCAAAGTGTAGGGCTGGCATTGCAGCAGCAACTTCTGTCTCTCTTCAGTAACTTTCTGAATAGTCCAGGAAACTTTAAGGAAAAAAGAGTTAAGGGGGAAAATATTCTGTGCGGAAAAGAAATGGCATTCATTACTTCTTCTCTTCTATTGTCTCTTGCCTTTCTACCAGGAACTGTTTTTCCACAGTGTAGCATAAATCACCACAGGACTGATTATTAAAGTTTTGTTTATAAAAGGAAATAAAATGAATGAGACCTATTCTGATAACAGTAAGCCACTTCAGCTGTGTGCATTAGCAGGTTATTACTGCACATCTTGGGTGGTTGAAAATGGGTGGCTTTCAGCCTTGTCCTTCTCAGTGCACAAGAGGTATGCACCAATGATTGACTAATACCCATTCTGTTGGAGCTTACCGCACCATTCTCTCATCTTTCTTTCTTTTTGGCTAATGGGCCAAATTCATCCACACACATTCACACTGAATGTGGAACAACTTCATTGAAGCCAATGGAAACGGAAGACTGGGACACGGGTAATCTGTGTTCAATTCGCACCTCTACCACTGACTTCCTGTGTGGCCGCAGGCAAGTCACTGGCTTTCTGTGCCTCAGGGATGACAATAATTCTTTTCTATCTTGTCTACTTAAATTGTAAGCTATTCAGCTCAGGGACTATCTCTTACTATGTATCGGTGCAGTACCTTGCACAATGGGGTCCTGACCTTCACTAGGTTTCTAAAAGCTACTGTCATGCAAATAAAGAATAATAAACTATGACCTTCATCTTACCTGTGCAAACTTTTAGGGCAGTCCTGGTGCTTTTCATTTTGCAAAATGTGCTACATGTAATACTGTCTTATAGAAATCAAAAGGATTTAGTGGGACACTGCAAGTAACAGTTCCAGCACTACAGTCAGGACATAACTTCTTACCCATCCACCCCCATCAGATACAACCACATCTTATCAAAATAAGACAACAACTTAACCTAATGATGCGGCACCACCTATTGGCGGAGATGCTTTGAGCACTGATCATTGTTTAAAATAGTTAAGGAAGTCATGAGGGAAAATAGGAACATCTTGCTTTCATATCATCTGGCATATTGTTTTTTGCCATTTAAGATTAAAACACACATGGAACTTGCTTTAATATGTCACTTTTATTTTCTGAGTTGCTGAGTGCCTGAGTCCCAGCCTGGGCTGGGGTGTCACATTAATTCTGTATAACACTTGGGAAGCAGACGGATTGGTTTGAATTAACTATGTACTGTACAATGATTCTGAGCTTAAGCAATATTATCTCCAGCAAATGTCTTTGCTACCGTAGTCATCTGTTTGGAGCCCTGGAGCAATTCTTGGCTTTTTTACTTGTATCATTTCACTATCAAAGCTAAAATGATTAATATTCACAGAAAAAAATAGATTCTCCCACAGCAATTCGTCCTTTCTGTTTCTATTTGGTGAGAACCAAGCCTTCTGCATACATTATATGGTCCTGCTAGAACTAGTTCTGGAAAGTGAGGAAGTGTATCTGTGACAGTACTACAAATACATCAGAGCTTAGGCATGGACATTGGAATGGAACTGTAAACATGTCTAGATTCCTGCCTCATACCTTTTCTGGTACAAAAATACTGACCTACACTCCTTGGTCCTGAATCTCCTCTTACTTAGACCCTTGATGGAGTGACATCATGAGAGAGCAGAATCAGGCCCTTTGTAGGTGTGCAAACTGATGGCTGTGATGCTTTACTTATACTTGTGTGACTAACTGGCTACGATGAGTACAAAACAGACCAGCTGACTGGCACGAAGAAGGTCAACCAGGTGATCACCTTGATCTTCGCCCAGTTACACTGGGAATGAATCAAGGTTTAAGTTATTTGAAAAGACTGAGATTTTAGGTCCATATTTAGGCACCTAAATAAATTGTCTGACTCTCAAAAGTACAGAGGACCCAGAAGTTCGCATTGACCTGAAAGTGCTCACCACTTTTAAAATGAGATCACTTAATTCGGCGCCTGAATATGGATTTAGGAGCCCAATTTAACATACCCATTTTTATTACCTTGGCCAAGGTATTTATGCTGATTTTACAGCCCTTTATAAGGAGGGACCAAAAGTCTGATTCAGAGTCCACTGAAATAAATGGGAATTTTTCCATTGCCTTCAATGGGCTTTGGATCAAGCCCCAAGAGACCTCAGATAAGGTTCAGCTATAGACCGCCTTGATTCTTCACTCCTGAAATATGTGGGTGGTCGTTCCTCTAACAATTAATCATTTGTTTTGCAGAAACCAACACCCCGTGATAGCTATGGCTTCTCCATTTTTCACCTGTTTCAATCTAAACTTAAATATATTTACTTTCACTGGCTTATAACAAATTTCAATTAACTCTTTCGTATGGATAAACGTTGATGTTAACATTACTGTAAAAATGCCTTCAAATGTCTCTGCACGATCAAGCGTAAAAGGCTACGATGTTGTAATGCTTCTAAATGGAAACAGGTTACTGTAGGCTACCCAAGAGTAAGTTCATGGCATGACCCGTGCACCCTGGAATCCTATAGAAGGGAGTGGGGTGTTCATATATTGTGTAGGCCTGCAGGATCAGGCCCAATGGAACTGATTCTCCTCTCCACTGCTCTGGTGTAAAACAGGAGTGACTCCATTGAAGTCCATGGGCCAGATCCTCAGCTGGTGTAAATTGGTGTAGTGCATAATCAATGAAAAAACTGGAACAAATGGAATAGAATCAGGACCACTATGACTAAGGGCCTAATCCTGAGGCTGGGCTGACCGAGAGAAAGGAGACTACATGTCCCTTATTGTTGCCTCTGAGAGGTCTGTGCCAGTCTGAACAATCATGAGCACATACAGGCTGAGCATGGGGTCAGTCCTATGTGTAGGTACAGCATGTGGCCAGCCACTCAGATCCTGAAGAGGTGCAGGAGGAGGGGGTGAGGAGCTTCTGCTACCCTGAACTGGCCCTTTATGGATTCTGACCTTTCTGTTGCCCAGGGGTGAAAGTAACTTAAAGGACTTACCGGTACGCCGGAGTCCTGAGCAGGGGCATGGCTCAAGTGGAAGAGGCGGGACCTTTCAAGATTTAAAGGCCCTGGGGCTTCGGCTGTGGCTGGGAGCCCCAGGGCCTTTAAATCACCCTGGAGCTACCAGCTGCAGAGGTGGCTGGGAGTCCTGGGGCTCTGGCTGCCGTGGAGCTCCGGGCCCTTTAAATCACTGCGGGAGCCCTGCCGCTGCTACCCCGGGGCAGCAGGGCTCGGGCAGGGATTTAAAGGGCCTGGTGCTCCTGCCACAGCGGGGAGCCCCGGGCCCTTTAAAGCACCTCCAGAGCCCTGCCACCACTGGGGTAGCGGCGGCAGGGCTCCGGCAGTGTTTTAAAGGGACAGAGGCTCCAGCCTCTGCAGGGAGCCCCATGCCCTTTAAAGCACCACTGGAGAAGCCGGTCCAGTTTGGCATGGCGTACTGGCTCTTGCCAGTACGCGGTACCATACCGTACCGGCTTACTTTCACCTCTGCTGTTGTCCCACAGAGTAGTTACCTGCAGGAGAGAGGGACAAACGGAGGTGGGTGAGCACATTCAAAGCCTCCCAGCACAGGTCATTGCTTGTGTGTGGGCACACATGGGGCAGTATCAGTCCCTCACCCTATGTTTGTCCCAGGGAAGGGGTAATCCACCACTCCAGCAGGCCATTCGTGTACAAGTGCCCGTTCCGTTTTAGAGCTGATAGTTGGCTCTTCAGGCTGGGGCTGCTCTTCTCTGCCCTTTACCGCCTCTTCAGCTGATGGACACACCCCTCACCAAATGCTAGAGGGCTGGAGGAGGTCTCCTCTCACCCTGAAATCACTCCTCACTGCGCCTCTGGGGCTGGGCTGGGGATCCACGTTGGTGTTTTGGATTTGATCACAGTTCTGTTGAGACTGAGTCAGCCTGGGCTGCAGACATCTGGCTGGCTCTACACCCACTCAATAGCGGGTCTGGATTTGACCTTAATTGATTTAATTAAGACTAGTAATAAGGTACCAACATTTATTGATGCTACTAATATTGTACAGCAGCAACCTAAGGTGATACAGGAAGATTTTGACCCTTGTCTCTTAGCCAGTCAATAACCCAGGCAGATAACACAGAAAAATGTAAAATCCAAAACCTGGGATCAGTACCTGGCTAAGGAAAGCACACTGTGTGGGATGGAACATGCCAGAAGGGATCAAGAAAGGACTTGAAAGACTTCCTTGGAAGTACATCATCAAGTCCAGCAGAAAAGTCAAACTGGATTCTGGGATGTGTTGCTGCAGGGACATAATTCAATCTGAAAGAA